GAACAATCATTTATATTTAGGCAATCAAAAGCTCCTCGGAATTTCAGTAAAATGAGTTTTGAATGGAGCACGAAATGTTCGCCTTATATCGATATATATTTATACGTATGTATGTAAGTTCAAAATCTACCAAATTTAGAAAAAATTTACCTTTTTACCAACCCAAATTTTTTCTACCAATTTTGGTAATAATTTACCAAAGTGGCAACCCTGGTTACCACATTATCAGACTTGTCACCTCGTTAAGTTGGTAATGATATATTCGGTAATTTACAAAAAAAAAAACAATGGTGGGAGTTACCGAATACCGAATTAAGACCTTAACGAGTATAGTCTGAATACCCTTAATATTTTAGCTGCCAAAAATCCGCTATTCCAAAGTGCTAAAGAATTTGTTTAAGTATGAATATTATTATGTCAAAATGTATGTACATATGTGAATGCATAACTAGGGGAAGAGGTCTATAATCACTAATGACTATAATTTTTAAAATCTATTGGTTTTCCAAAATATTAAGTACGAAGACTCTAAACTTTTAAGTATTTAATTTTTGTGTTTAACAACTGGTGAAGTGTGGTAACTTCTGACCACTCTTGATGTTTAAAGAATATGTGAATACAAAATTTCGTGGGTTTGATCTTGAATAGGCCTGGCCTTTCTTAAATTTTTTGTATCTACCTCGAAACTTTTCTTGTATCGGAAAGGAGGTTTTTCTATTATTTTACTTTCAAGATTTTGGAGCAATTCAAATAAAATTTTTCAAATTTAAAATAACTGCTGGAAAATCCTTTATTAATTAACGTATATGTACATATTTATTTATTTAGGCTACAGGACGATTTTTCTTACAGACCACTGAAAAAAGGTACATTAACATATTTATAACATATCAGTCTACCTTTGTATGCAGCGGGCGGAAATACCGCAATGCTAACGAGCGGTTGATTATGGCCAAAAAGGCTGGGTTTCCGTTCTATGCTCGTATTTTCTTACGTGTGCTAGTTCCAGTGGAAGAGCAGCAGCAGTCTGGAACCATTATAATTGCATCAAATAAGTAAGTACTAATCAGTTAAAGATATTGTGAAGTTTGTCCGTTCCCAGTTGAAAAAATTACTCTGATTAGTTAACTGTTTAAGCAAAGTTTTGTGAATTATAAATATAAGTAGCGATTCAGATGTGTCGAGGCAATCATAGTGTTTGTTAAAATTTTGGCATAAGCAACGAAAAGCATGATGCATTTCAAACTTTGATTTATAGATACTCAACACAATAGGCTTAAAATATGTCAAGGGTCGTGTGGGAATACAAAAATGTATCTGACTCAGTAAAAAGGGACTACTTAGCTTAGTAAGAAAATAACCCCAAGCATCTCTCTACAACTCTAAAGCGTCGGCAAATCCATAAGCTTCAGGCGGTCTTTGTAGGGTGGGAGAATTTTAGAAGCATTCCAAGATAAATTTTGTTGAGCAAATAAACGTAACTGCACAGATTCTAACCTGTCAATATGTGTTTGATAACAAGGATTCCATACCACAGATGCATATGGCAAAATCGGTCTTATTAATAAATATATCATCTTTATCCATTTCTCAAACGTAAATAAGAAGAAAAGTATTCATAATCAGTTAAGATAACTAATTATAGTATGAATACAGTATATTTTGCTTTGCTGCCTCTATGCTTAAGTGCACATTTAAGGTACCTACCCCAAAATGCGCATCAAAAGCATTATTTTTAACATTTATAAGGAAACTGCTCCGATAGATGCATTCAACATACCTGCACATTGGCGATACCTGTCTTAAAAATTGAGCGACTAGTATCAATTA